CAATCCGGGCATTCCTCTCCTTGAAGTTTCCACCCAAGAGAAATTAAAACATATGCCCACACAATGCTCAAAGCAGCTTCATGTGTAAGCACGCAAAACTGGAAACAACCCACACATTTATCAATGAATTCACGGATAAACACAGGGGTATATTCATACAACAGAACAGAACACCACTCAGCAGTAAAAAGGAATATATATACAACAACATGGATGAATCTCAACATAATTATGCTGAGCAAAAGAAGCCAGACTAAAAAAATATTACATATGGTATTTTGCATGTACAGGAAATTTTCAAAAACACAAATCAATTTATAGTACTGGAAAGCAGTTAGATCAGTGGTTTCCTGGGGCTAGAGATGGGAAGTGAGTAGTGAGAAAGAATGCATTATAAGGCACATGAGAAAACTCTAGAGGAGGTGGATATGTTCATTTTCTTAATTGTGATGATCCTACAAGTGTCAAAACTCAAATTGTATTTTAAATATATACAGTTTCTGGTATAGCCATTGACACACCAATAAAAGTGCCAAATATGTATGTCAAAGTATATACAGAGAAGAAACAACTGGTATCAAATCCCCTGATCACTCTCCAAAAGTGGCAACTTTTCAACCAAATATACTTCAATAAAAAATTTTTTTTGATCAACAAACTTCTGTCCAGGCTCAACAAGAAGAAAAAAGAGAGGACCCAAATAACTAAAATAAGAAATAAGAGAGGAGAAATAGGGAGTTCCCTGGTGGTCCAGTGGTTAAGACTCCCCACTTCCACTGCAGGGGAGGTGGGTTCGATCCCTGGGTCAGGGGACTAAGATCTTGCATGCTATGGGTCATGACCAAAAGTAAGAAATAAAAAATACAGAAACTGAAAATATGGCCAATACCAACTGACTTATTTGATGTTTGACAGAAACCAACAAAATACTGTAAAGCAATTAGCCTTCAACTAAAAACAAATTTTAAAAAGAAAAAAAATCTCTAAAAAAAATAAAAAAGAAAATGAAAAGGTGGAACTACCCATGAAATAATTTAATTTCCCAGAACTGAGGGCCATGAATTTCCAGCTTGGAAAGACCTGTGGAGTGCCGAGCACAGTGAGTTCTGGTAAGAGTATTGATAGCTAATGCTGTCAGTGTTAGTGCTTACTCATGCCAGGCACTGGTCTAAGTGCCTTACATATTAACTCATTTACTTGCCTCAACTGTCACTAAAGGACAGAGAAGTTAAATAATTTGCCTGAATCCACACTTCCAAAATCCCTGGTCAGGAAACAAAGAAGGAGCTGAGACCCCACGTACCCTGGGGTGCAGTCAACAAGAAGAAAACAAAATTGTCTGAGATGACACAGCTAATAGGTGATGGAGCTGGCATGCAAACCCATTTGACCCATGCTCCACATTCAGTGCTCAAATATCTATGCTACATTGTATATAAATAGTCTTCCGCCATGGTTCCTATCAGAATACTGGGATCTAGGAGGAGATGCCATAGTTTCGAGAGAGAGAGAGAAAAAAAAAAAAAAGCAGGTTCTAAGGAATGGATCTGGAGTAAAACCAGCTTTAGAAATGCTCGCTAACAATATTAAAAACTAAACAGAATTAAACAAGGCCTTCAAAATGTAAGAGACCTGGGTTTGATCCCTAGGTAAGGAAGATCCCCTGGAGGAGGCAATGGCAATCCACTCCAGTATTCTCACCTGGGAAATTCCATGGACAGATGAGCCAGGCAGGCTACAGTCTATGGCATCCCAAAGAGTCAGACATAAATGAGCACGCTCAGAATATTACAGGAACATATTTGCAACCTAGAATTCCATACCCAGCCAATCTATCAATGAAGTCTGAGTAAAATAAAGACTTTGGACAATAAGACCTTAAATTTTTTGCCCATATGCACCCTTTCCCAGGTTACCACTGGGGGACATATTCCATGATAATAAAGGAATAAAGCAAGAAAGAAGATGATGAGGCATAGAGGAAACAGAAGCACCCCCACTAAAGAGTATGAAATGGATCCCCCTGATGGTAATGTAGAAACCACAGAAGAGCCAGTTCTGAGTGTACAAATTAACAGCTCAGGTTACAGCAAGTCTTTCTCAGAGGACTTCTCAGGAGGATGAAATGATAGACTATATAGGAATGTTCTAAGAACACTAACAACTGGCAAAGAGCTTGGGGTTGACTGAGTGATAAACACATTGAAAAGCAATTCCCAGGTGGCTTAGTGGTAAAGAACCTGCCTGCCAATGCAGGAGATGCAGGTTCAATCCCTGAGTCGGGAAGATCCCCTGGAGAAGGAAATGGCAACCCACTCCAGTACTCTTGCCTGAAAAATCCAATGGACGGAGGAGCCTGGTCGGACACAAAGAGTCGGACACGACTGAGAGACGACACACACCATAAGACATTTTAAATCATGACGCGAAAATAAAAATAAAATTTATTATTTCTTTTAGAAAGTTAATACATATATATCTTCCTTTACATTTTCAACATATTAAATATTATATCTTAAAATAAATTTCCTATTATGATACTCTGTAGAGAAGAACATGTATTCATGCCAGTACAGTGAATAAAGCTTCATATTCTCTGATACTTCAAAATGTACTAAGATGACTGAGAAGCTGGTAAGCCTTTATGTACTCTAAAAATCTACAGAGGCAATACTTTTGTGGTATCCACTCTGCCCATGATACTCAAGGATTTCTTCCGGTTAGTACTCATACCTTTTACAGTGTTTGCTGTCCTTGCCTACTACTAACATTATTACTTTAATTGCTTGCCTTTTAAGACCCAAGCCTATTTTTCTACGCTGGCTTAAAGTATTGACTCTGGCAAATTTCTAATTGTAGACTTCTTGGCCAACTTGCATATAGGTGTGCTTAGCCATTGTAAGACACTGATCAGGTAGTAGAAATTTGAAGAAAAGGAAAGTACTCTATCTCAATTTGCAGTTCCTTTTCACATTAGCAGCAGACATCTCAAGATATAGTACCATTTAGGTCCTCATGTGTTACCGTAAGAAAAGCCCCTACTCAGCCATAACAGCTCCATCTCCAAAGTCCTCACTCTGAACTATCCCACTGTCTTTTGGGTCTTTCAGCCTTCTATTAACAGTGAGCTGATTTTCTGTATTAAATCCCTTATATTGAAATAGCCAGTGTGAATTCTGTTTTACTGACTGGATCCTGATATATGGACTTTGAAGCATTTTTAGTGGAGAAGTACAAAAGTTTAGATTGAGGGGCCACATCTTACTATCTGGAACAATGTTGACCTACATAAGCGGAGACACCATGTCTTCCAAACTGTTTAGACATAGGGTAATCTTTCCAGCAAAATCTAATTCCAATGAGGAAGAACTAAGGAAAACAAAATTCATCTTTGGGATTCATCAGCTGCAGATAGAAAGATCAAATTGAGCACAAAGAAGAGCTGGTTAATAAGAAATAAAGTGCTATCATTAGACAGTGATACACGGATCGGCTATCATATGAGAATTTAGGAGACTCTAGTAATGTATACAGGCTTCCCTAGTGGCCTGCCAATCCAGGAGACTCTGGTTCAGTCCCTGAGTCTGGAAGATCCTTGGAAGACAGAAATGGCAGTGAACTCCAGTATTCTTGCCTGGGAAATTCCATGGAAAAAGAAGACTGGCAGACTACAGTCCATGGGGTTGGAAAGAGTTGGACACAACCTAGCAAATGAGCATGAGCACGAGTAATGTAAAGACACANGAATTGATGCTTTTGAACTGTGGTGTTGGAGAAGACTCTTGAGAGTCCCTTGGACTGCAAGGATATCAAACCAGTAATCCTAAAGGAAATCAGTCCTGAATGTTCGTTGGAAGGACTGATGCTAAAGCTGAGGCTCCAATACTTTGGCCACTGATGCAAAGAACTGACTCACTGGAAAAGACCCTGATGCTGTGAAAGACTGAAGGCAGGAGGAGAAGGGGACCACAGAGGACGAGATGGTTGGATGGCATTACTGACTGGACATGAGTTTGAGCAAGCTCCAGGAGTTGGTGATGGACAGGAAAGACTGGCATGCTGCAGTCCATGGGGTTGCAGAGTCGGACACGACTGAGCGACTAGACTGAACTCAGTTGCTAAATACTGCACACACTGTTGTTGAGTCACTAAGTCGTGTCTGACTCATCCACAACCCCATGGACTGTAGCCCCCCAGGCTCCTCTGTCCATGGCATTTCCCTGCAAGAACACTGGAGTGGGTTGCCATTTCCTTCTCCGGGGGATATACCTGACCCAGGGATCAAACCAAGGTCTCCTGCAGTGGCAGGAAGTTTCTCTACTGCTGAGCCACCTGAGAAGCCCACAATAAACACTTAATTGTGCTTAAATATAGCCTTCCTATCCAAGTATACTTTACTGGACTCAAACTCTAGGAAAATTGGTTCATGCAAATCCATTTCTTTCCAGTTAATCAATTCCCCATTCTCCAACCACTCTGTACAAGTGAGTTTTCCTCACAGATGCTGTCTTTGTATTTTCATGTCATTTTCACATGTGTATGTGCATTCCACATGCTCCAGAGGGCATCCCAGAGAGACAGTATGAAAACAGGCAAAAGGAAAAAGATGATTTTTTGGAGAACAAAACTTTAAACTTGCCACTTTAAAGTTCCACATGAGAGGGACTTCCCTGGTGGTCCGGTGGCCAGGACTCCATGCTCCATTCAATGCAGGGGGGGCCACGTTTGACCCCTGGTCGGGGAATTATTAATAGATCCCACATGCCACAACTAAAAGATCCCACATGCTGCAACTAAGACCTGGTACAATCAAATAAATACTCTTTAAAAAATAAAGTACCACATGAGAATAATAAATGATGTTTCACTGAAAACTGGAAACTAGGTTACTAAAATGAAACCCACAATTTTTAACAAATTTTTTTAGATTTTAAAAGTAATTTGTCTCTCTCCTTTTTTGGCACCTCCTTGGGGGTCTCAAAGATGAAAATTCAAAATAGCCTTCAAAATAATGTCTCTTGCGGGCAGGGGGCAATGCCTCTGACAAGGAGTTTCCCCTTACCTTGGCGCAATTTTACAAAAATCAAAATGAATAGCACAAGCGATTCAATGCCAGCAACATTTTCATCTACTTACAGTGCTGTTGCCTGTGATACAACGGTACAAATACGTGGCTGGGACACAGATCTTTCAGAGCTGTCAGCTAAGAGCTGTCGGCTAAGAGCTGTCCGATAACCCACAGGAGCTGGCTCATCCACCAGGGGGCATTTGGACGTATGCATCCGACTGCACACAGGGAAAGGTCAGAGTCCTTCATCCTCTTTGGATGCAAAAACCACAGAGAACAAATTCAACAGTGAGATGACAGTCACTTAGGTGGAAGAGGTCTTCTCAAACCAATTGGCCTTTCCCTTAGGGAAAACTGAATTTTCTTGACTTCATTTTCCTGACATTTCAGGTTATTCAAGCGCTTCATTTCATACTCCCTTTCACATCGGATGGCTGAAAAATAAAATACACGAAGCAATCCAACTGACATTTTTTACCAGGCATAGCTTAGTCCAAGATGAATATTTATCACACAGAAAAATCCACATTCTTGAATACTAAACAAGAAGAGAGGGCTACATAGATAGGGAGCATGGGTGTGAATGAGCATATTTAAACACATGTCTAATAATCACAATAACACAAAATTTGCAATTTATTAAAGTAGTTCCTACAGTACTTACATTCTGCTGAAGGGAGCAGACCATCCTTAATGGTTTTACATTTTTTGAGGTGTACACAGCTACCAAATGCAATTTCTTCCAAGAAAGGCAACTTGATGTTGGCTAGTTTCGTGTACCATGTCTTTGTGAGTAGTGCAAGTTCCCAGGGTTCCTGTCTGAGGCAAAAATTAACTCATTCAATAAACATTTATTGACATCGATAACAGGATATAGATAAGACATGTGGATTCTCAGTTCCATTTTCCACTAGAGATTTTGGTTTGCTGAAGAGTATTCAGGATTTTCCAGAGTTGCAAATCTAGCCAGGAGAAGGAGCCTTAAACCAACATCTTATAAACTTTCAGTGTAGAAATATTAATACATTGAAAAATAACCATAAATTATAATGATAGGAACTTTAGCTCAAAAAACAGCCTCCATGAAGTCAATCCAATCTTTCCATGTCTTTAAAGAGGATGTAGTTTAAAACTATAAGCTCCAAGTCTTTCATGGTTGATCAAAAATATGATCACATTAGGGAAGGAACAAATGGAATATACTGAATATGGTGCTTGGCCCACAATAAAGCTTTGAGTGTGTGATCTGATGTTTTTTTAATTTTTTAGAAGTATTTATTTTTTTGGCTGTGCTGGATCTTAGTTGCAGCATGCAAACTCTTAGTTTTGGCATGTGGGATCTAGTTCGCTGACCAGGAATCAAATCCATACCCCCTGCATTGGGAGCATGGAGTCTTAGCCACTGGACCACCAGGGAAGTCCATGATCTGATTTTAATTTTTACAACACCCAGAGGTAAGACAAGGGAACAAAGACTCAGAAGTTAACTGAGAACCAGAGCTGAGATGTAATCCAGGTGAACTTAGAAGTATCAACAGAATCCTTAGAAAACAGGAGAAAGGAGCGAAATCCCAAACTACAGTATTTAAAAATAATCACAATGAAATTTTAATGGATTGTTTTATGCATCCTACTTCGGAAATTTTAAGTATCAGCTACGTTTCTCAGCTACAGTCAATGTGAATTCATATGTATGAGGAAAGGGGAAAGACCTGTTTTGGTATAGGTAGGTGAAATGAGCTTATTATATACATGCCATCTGTCTTCCTCCACCAGCTTCCTTGTTACTTTATCATCTAACCTTAAGGAGTGACTTGAAGTCTACAATTACTATAAATGCACTTGAACAAATACACAAAGATGTATTTACAAGAATCTTCAATGAAGCATTGCTTATCCCAAAAACCTCACAAAGTAGTCTTAATGTCTACAAAGAGGAGCCTGGCTAAACTGCAGTACACATATGTAATGAAAGAATGAGGTTTATCCTTATCTATGGATTTGGAAAGATGAGCAATCAAACAGTTAATGTTTATCTAGCACCTACTACATGCTAGATACTCTTTTAATCAGTTTACATATATAAACACATTTAATTGCCACAGTAATCTATGAAGTAGGTAAGGTGCTATTATGCTTATTTTACAGGTTGGGAAGCAGGAGCAGAGAAAAATTTACTCAAGGTCACAAGGCTTGGGTTTGAAATTTTAATGCATGTACAAATATATCTATGTATACCTATATAGAGGTGTGTATATACATATATGTATGCACATATGCATAATACAGGTTTATATAAATGATGTGAATACAGGTGAAACACTGATGGCAATATGGACTAAAAGAACAAAAGTGTTCTAAAATCTAAGACGTAAATATCTAAAATCTACAATTTACTCAAGATCACAAGGCTTGGGTTTGAAATTTCAACTCGGAAAATCAGATTCTAGAATCTATGCTCTTAACCACTAGGCTACACAAGATAAAATAGGGGAGGGAGTAAAGTTCAGTATAATCCCATGTGCAAAAATGTGTGTGTGTACACATATGTGTACATATGTGTATCACATACAAGAGACAGAAGTTGTAGGAAAACATAAAACATTTTACCTGAGTGGGATTGGGCAGGTAGGATAGGGGTGGGAATGGAGATATGAGAAATAACATTTTATTCTCCTTTCAAAGCATTTGAAAATAAAAATTTCAAATGGTTTTGATCTTCTAAAATCACTTAACCAAAAAAAAAGCCCAAAGTGAAAAACTGCCTGAGCAAATGAAAGAATCTGCCTGTAATACAGGAGACCCCAGTTCGATTCCTGGGTCAGGAAGATCCCCTGGACAAGGGATAGGCTACACACTCCAATGTTCTTGGGCCTCCTGGTGGCTCAGATGGGAAAGAATTGGCATATAATGCAGGAGACCTGCGTTCGATCCCTGGGTTGGGAAGATCCCCTGGAGGAGTGCATGGAAATCCACTCCAGTATTCTTGCCCGGAGAATCCCCAAGGACAGAGGTGCCTTGGGAGGCTACAATCCATGGAGTCGCAGAGTCGGACACGACTGAGTGACAAACACCATTCTATTCCTCTTAATTTAGTTGCTCTTATAAACAGAATGATATCAAATACTTTCTTGTGAGATTGACAGAGAAGACACTGGTTTTGCAGACATTATGCATGATATAAAATGCTATATAGCCAAAACCACAGAATCAGTGAGTCGGACACAACTGAGCGACTTAACTGAACTGATTCATGATACAAAATGCTATATAGTTAAAACCACAGAATCAGTGCTTTAAATCATTCTCGAAATACAGGAATATCTTTGTTATAAAAATCATGCTTGCAACAATGACTGTAGTGGTTATTTGCCTATAGTTCAAGGTCTAAAGTCATACTGAACTAACAGATCTAAGCAGAGTGCAATAATGAGTTTTTCCGTAACTCTAGTTTTATAACCTCGTGAAATGTCTCCATTTCCTTCTTAGAATATTGTCAAAAAGTAAAATTCAATTGACTCACAATGATAAATATGTCATAGATTGTGGCAGAGGGGTTAAAAAAAGACAACAATTTAAAATAAGGTAGCACAACAGTAGTATAGAGTGAAACTCTCATGTAGTAGCAACCCAAGTTCACTATGGGTTTACTATTATTTCAGACAACATACAAGTACCTTACCTACATTACTGCATTTGTATTCCATACCATGTGGGTCGATATTGATCTGTCCATTTCACAGATGTGGAAGCCAAGGCACAGAGAAGTTAAGTAATTTACTCAAGGCAGCATGGGCAGCCAGGGGCAGAGCCAGGCTTTGAGCCCTGGTTTTCTTTATGGGTTTTTTTGTTTGTTTGTTTGAGCAGAGTTCCTTTTGCTAACAGTGGGTCCTTGTTGGTTATCCATTTTAAATACAGCAGTGTATACATGAAGTATTTCCTAAAGTTCTTAACTATCCCTTCCCCCCTCAATTTCCCTACCCCAGCAACCATAAGTTCATTTTCTAAGTCTGTGAGTCTCTGTTTTGTAAGTTTATTTCTTTTTAGATTCCATGTATAAGGATAGTCATACACATTTCTCCTCTGTCTGACTTCACTCAGCATGATACTCTCTAGGTCCATCCATGGTGTTGCAAAAGGCATTATTTCATTCTTTTTAATGGCTGAGTATATATGGACCACATCTTCTTTATCCATTCCTCTTTCAATGGATATTTAGATTGTTTCCATGTCTTGGCTATTGTAAACAGTGCTACAGTGAACACTGAAGTGCACGTATCCTTTCAGATAATGTTTTTCTCTGGCTGTATACCCAGGAGTCAGACTGCAGGATTATACGGTAGCCTTATTTTTAGTTTTTTTTATGGAACCTCTACTGTTCTCCACAGTGACTATACCAATTTACATTTCTAGAGCCCAGTCTTCTTGATTGGAAAGCCCATATTGTCCACTTGTGGTGGTGATGGTGGTTTAGTCGCCAGGTTGTGTCTGACTCTTGCGACCCCATGGACCTGCCAGGCTCCACTATCCATGGGATTCTCCAAGCAAGTATACTGGAGTGGGCTGCCATTTCCTTCTGCAGGGGAATCTTCCCAACCCAGGACTCGAACCCGGGTCTCCTGCACTACAGGCAGATTCTTTACTACCTGCCAAATACACAGGATGCAAAATTGACTGTCTGTGCCAGTTAATCAAGTGTTCTGTTAAGATGAGTCAGACACCAAGGCATTTTTAGTTAGATTTACACTATCTAAAGAGCTATTTCAAGGTTGTTGTCAGTAGTAGAAAACGTTGCTTTGGAGTAAGAAAACTCAGACTTCTATCCTTGTCACTTCCTTACTACATGACTTTGATCATATTACCATTTGAAATTTTTTTTGTTGTAAAAAACCAAGTAAGAATACTTAACAATCCTTATAAAAGCATTTTCCTAAAAAAAAAAAAAAAAAAAGCATTTTCCTTTTAAAAAATCAGTATTAAAAAAAAATCAGTATCCAGGCACCAGAAAATGCCTCATACAGTCCAGTATCTCAGGGGAACATAAGGATGTCCAGTACTTTTATTTTAACAAGGACACCCCCCCACCCTGAGTCAGTGCTTACCTGATAAAAATACTTACACTTGATAACAATTGCAGCGCAAGAGCTTTTCTACTCCATTCTTTCTTTGCAAGCCATAAGCCATGGTGAATTATTACAGTCCGATTTCCTAACACAGGTGCCTGATGTAATGACTCAGATATTCTTGTTCACTTTGCCTGAAATGATTGCAACGCACCTAATTAAGATAAAATTTTCACTTGAGTATTTTAATATCCAAATAATAAGAAGATCCAGAAAAAAAAAAGTCTGATTCTAAGCACCTCCCTAACCGATGTTCATGAACTGAACCTCTATCTTCTATTTTCCACAAACTCATTTTATCACTTCTTGCCACGTTACGAGAAAATGAAAGGTAAACAGCATCAGCATTCTGGCCCCGTATTCTGTTCTTGCCTAAAGGCTGCCAAATGGGCTCAAAAAACCTCAACACCAAAACGTGTCTCAAACGTGACAGTGTTAAGCCACAAAGCACGGGCGGGCACGGGGACTTTCCGTCCTCCATCCGCGAGCCCTCTTAAAGAATGCAGACCTTCGTCCCAGGTTTTCCCTTTTGCAAAAATCTGCGCTTAAACTATGACCCACTTCATGCACCACTCCCATGCCTCCTCCAGCTCAGGCTTCGGGATGGGTGTCCTCCCCGCTGGATGCGCAGATCCCGGGAGGACCCGGGTCCTCCCGAGCCCAAGCTGGGGAGGAGAGATGAAGAAGGGAGGGAAGAGGGGATGAAGAGGAAGGAAGAGAGGAGAGCCGGGAAGCGGGACGGAAGATTGCGGGGAGGGGGCGGGGCCGACCCTCCGCGCGCCATCCCCACCCACGCCTAACCCCGCCCCTCCTCCCACCCACGCCACACACGCGGCGGGCGCGGCCACTCCGCCTAGGCCTCGCGAGAGTGGTGCCCGCGAGAGGACGCCGGCGCCCGATTACCCGCGCTGGAGTGTGGGAGGGTCGCGGGGACCCCGTGGGTCTAGGGCCGAGCGCGCGCCCGTCTAGTCGCCCATGGCCGCGGGCACGGGCCTCCTTCCTGCTCGCGCCTGGAGGTGCGGGCGGCCCCGCGTCAGGCCAGAGCCTCCATAAAGGGCTTTGTGGTGCCGGCCCCGCCCGCGAGAGGTCCCGTCGGGGCCCGGGGTTAGCGTCCCACAGCCGACGGCCCCCTCACGCTTGACGGAACCCAGCCCACAGCGGACGAGAGCGCTTGTAACCGAGGCCTTTACCTGAAGACGACGCTTCTGACCGGGAGGGGGTTGAGTGCAGCGACCTTGGTTTGGGGGCAGCACTTAGAGAAACGCGCCGGGTTCCGACGTGTGGACGTGCGTGAGCCTCCCGCGTTCCCTGAGAGCGCGGAAGCCGCGTTAGTTCCCGCACGCCTCATATGTCAGGGCAGCTTCAAATAGTGATGCTCCAGACATCTGCTGAGCGTTATGGGCAAAGTAGGCTTGCGAAAACGTGGTCTGAAGGACACGTTTCTGAAGTCCTTACAGGGTGGTGACTTGGGACGAATCTATTTTACTACGTCAGATGGTCACCGCTTAACATCAAACGAAAATAGGTTACCTCTATTTTGCGCGCAGGTTTTGGAGTCAGAACTGGGTTGGACTCCTAGTTCCGCCACTTGATAACTTTTAAGTTAATCTTGCCTACGAAAGTTGTCTAAGCCGCAATTTCTTTCACCTGTAAAACAAGTATAATATTCTGTATCTTACAGGGTTGTTGTGATGATCAAAGGTCGGGTCTGTAAATTCTCCGCTACAGGGTAAATGCCCAATTACCTAATTTTGAGCCTATTAACAACTTTATGGGATGGGTGAGAGATTAGCATTCCAGTTGTAAAGAGGCGATTGAACTAAGATTGAAGGACTGCCTAGGGTGCGATAGCTAAGTGAGTTTCAGGGCCAACTTTTGAAGCTAAGGGCTTCCCTTTTGGCTCAGCTGGTAATGAATCCGCCTGCAATGTGGGAGATCTGGGTTCGATCCCTGGGTTGGGAAGATCCCCTGGAGCATGGAAAGGCTACCCACTCCAGTATTCTCGCCTGGAAAATTCCATGGACTGTATAGCCCTTGGGGTCACAAAGAGTCGGACACCACTGAGCGAGTTTCACTTTGAAGCCAAACCCAGTACCGTTTTCATCTTGACAAGCTACTTCTGATACTGTGCTAAGCCCTGTCCAACTCTTTGGGACCCTGTGGACTATAGCCCATGTGGCTCCTCTGTCCATGGGATTCTCCAGGCAGTAATACTGAAGTAGATTGCCATGCGATCCTCCAGGGGATCTTCTTAACCCAGGGATGGAACCAGCGTCTCTTAAATCTCCTCATTGGGGAAAAAAAAAAATCTCCTTCATTGGCAAGCAGGTTCTTTATCACTTGGGCCACCTGGGAAGCCCACTTCTGGTACTAGCTCCTGCCTTAATTAGAACAGGCTGGTAGGGTTGACACATTGGTAGAGGACCAGGTTGTTAACTAAGGTCACACCCAGATGGGACAGGGATAGACTACCTTAGAGTTGAAGTGGCCATGGTTTCCTGGCCTGTTTTCTTTTTATAGATGAACAAATCAAGAGGCAGGGAGAGGATGTGGTCACACTGAGAGAGATCATTCTGTGATTTCTCCATGTGGGAACCCCCATTTCTTTTATACATGCATAGATTGCTGACAATTGTAGTTATTTTCTGTGTGACTCACTTTGAACAAATATGGTGGAAGTTAGAGCGTGACTTCTGAAACCAGGTCATAAAAGCTGTTGTGGCTTCCTTCTTGTGGTCTCTGTTGGATCACTAACCCTGGAAGAGGTCGGCTGCGTGTTGGAAGGATGCCCAAGCCAACTTTAGGAGAAATTCATATGCAGTGGGATGAAGGCCTCTAGCCAACAATTGGTGAGGAGCTGAGGCCTCTTGACACCAACCATGTGAGTAAAACATCTTGGGAGCAGGTCCTCCAAGGCTCAGGCAGGTCTTCAGATGACTGTAGCCTCACATGTCTTCACTGAAATTTCATGGGAGAGCCTAAGCCAGAACCACTTCACTAAGTCACTTCGGGATTCCTGGCCCTCAGAAAAAAATGAGATAATAAATCATCATTTTTAAGCCTCCAACCTTACAGATATCTGTTACAGAGCAATAGATAACGAATGTACCATTAAGTTTCTTAATGTAGAAGGAATATTTTGCAAAGAGGAAAATAGCCATATTTTTATAATTGGGGTTAATGATTTAATTAAAATGAACAGTAAAACACATTATGCTTAACTGACATTTACTGGGCAACTAATATTGCTAAATCTCTTTAGGACCATGGTAGTGGTCCTAGTTGCTAAGTCTTGTCGGACTCTTGAGACTTCATAGATTGTAGCCCACCAGGTTCCTCTGTCCATGTTTTCCAGGCAGGAATACTGGAGTGGGTTGTCATTTCCTTCTCCAGGGGATCTTCCAAACCCAGGGATTGAACCCAGGTCTCCTGCATTGCAGGTGGATTCTTTACCAGCTGATCCACAAGGGTATTGGATAAGCCTTCACGAATTTCAACTCCTCCAGAAAGTTATTCCTTTTTTCATTTAAATTGGTTAAGGGAGCATTGCCGCCATCTAGTGATAAAATACAAGGAGGACTGTAAAGGAGACAATCCTAACAGGGACTTCCGTAGTGGTGCAGTGGTTAAGACTGCATTTCCAATGCAGAGGGCACAGGGTTCAATCCGTGGTTGGGGAACTAAGATCTCACTTGGCGTGGCCAAAAAAAATCATAACACGAAAACATTATTAGTGTGATAACATTGACTATGTTTTGGTTACTGTTCTAGGTACTTCATATGTGTATGCATGCATGCAAAGTCGCTTCAGTCATGTCTAACTCTTTTCGACCCTATGTACTGTAGCCCACCAGGCTCCTTTTTCCATGGGATTCTCCAGGCAAGAATACTGGAGTGGATTGCCACGCCCTCCTCCAGGGAATCTTTCCAACCCAGGGATCAAACCAAAGTCTCTTAAGTCTCCTGCATTGGCAGACAGTTTCTTTACCACTAGCACCACCTAGGAAGCACCAGGTACTTCATATACTTTATTTCAGTTAACTATCACAATAGATGCTATAATTTAGTGATGTGATTTTCCAGCTATTGAGAAAATAAAACAGGTACCTCAAGCAGGTCACAGGGTTTGACCCAAGACTATCTGATTCTGGTTTTCTGCTCTCTCTACCACACTATACATTCTCCCAGGATTGTAACTAGGGCAAGGCTTCCCTGGTGGCTCAGATGGTAAAGAATCTGCCTGCAATGCAGGAGATGTGGGTTTGATCGCTAGGTCTGGAAGATCCCCTGGAGGAAGGAATGGCTACCCACTCCAGTATTCTTGCCTGGGAAATCCCATAGACAGAGGAGCCTCATGGGGGACTACAGCCCATGGGGTTGCAAAGAATCAGACACAACTGAGTGACTAACACTTTAGCATGTATACTTGTAAATGTTTTTGCAACTGCCCTTTTCGAAGACAGTTAACTTCTCATCATATATATAGTGTATATATGTATATATATATATATACATATATATATATCCCTGCTACTTTCAAGGAGCAATGTTTTGTTTCTTTTAACTTAATATGTAAATTACACTTAATATGTAAATTACAGCCTACACTTTTTTCATGCTACACCCAAAACTTCTCAAGGAATGATACCAATTAGAATGATAAAGTAATTCATCCGAAAAACTTTAAAATCACCAAAGAACTTAACAGCACTGAAAACCCTATATGTATTTCTGTACTTGCTCTTTAGTTGCTCAGTTGTGTTGGACTCCTTCACACCACCACCAAGCTACTCTGTCCATGGGATTTTCTGGGCAAGATTACTAGAGTGGGTTGCCATTTTCTCCTCCAGGGGATCTTCCTGACCCAGGGATCAAACCCATTACCTCCTGCATTGCAGACCTCCTGCATTGCAGGTGGATTCTTTACTGCTGAGCCACCAGGGGAGCCTTCTGTACTAGCACCTTCCTAATTCTCTCACTTCTCTATCCACTCCTTCCCGTGTTTCCCTTTCTTCCTCCCCTGAAGTTTGTGTGTGCCCATAACTGAGATGCTCTTCTTCTGTTTGTTCTATCCCAGCACTCAGTGGCTATACTCTCACTAATGTAATTATCACTTCTCTTTGGATTGGCCCCACATCTGATTCTCTAGCCAGCTTTGCCTTCTTCCTGAATTCATATCCTGCATTTCCACTGATTTGTGGGATCTTCCTACCTGAATATCCTGTCCAGTTGAAAATTTCAGCATATCCAAAATGTAATCCATCGCCTACTCATTCAGCCATCTCTTTTGCTTCTACTTCTAGGAATGGTGATGCCCTGTGAGTGTCCCATGAGTCACACTTAAAGTATTGAGCCAATTTAAAGCATACTGTTGGGAAGCTACTCCACGCCAGCCAACATTCTTGGCCATCTTCCATGACATTGGGTCCTCACAGGTTAGGAGGGAAGAAGACAGTAGTTTCCCTAGTGCAATATAGCAGGGAAGGAGTTTCCAGGGTTACAAAATGACTTACAGTTAAACGACTAGTAAGTTGCAGAGCCAGACTTAACCCAGGTCAGTTTCACTCCTGACCTCCTTTGAGTTCTCCAGGTCACCTGCCTTGACTGTGTCCCTTTGTACATGAGATTTTCATTGCATGCTTACAACATTAACTACCCACTCATTTTATTTGAGGTCAACGGATTATGTTTCTGTACCTTAAACACATAATTTTCTGACCAAAACAAAGAACAAGAGCCTCAACTAGGGTCCAGGCTTCTCTGCTCTGCTTAAAGGCAGAAGTTACAATTTCCTAGGTACCCAGTACTCCTGTTCTTTAGGAGGCAAAACAGATAAGAATGCATTTTCCTGATCCAAGACTATGAGACATGATTCACAGACTAGGATTCTCCCCAGGACAAAATCTGGAGCCGCAGGGATCCCTGACTGGCTTTAAGAGGGCACCCTACACTGCACCAACCATGTAGCTGTGGACACCAGGAGACCTCAGTGGCACTTGAATGCCTCCACTGCACAAGCATACAGCATTTGTTGTAAGAGCAGGAAGAAAGTCTTTCTTTACTCAGCATAATAAATGAGGTCTTTGGGCTGTTACAGGATCATCCTATTAAGTTCAAATTAAAAGGTTTATCTGCTTCAGTCCAATTGACATTGCAACTTTATGCTAATTTATAATGTCACTTTAAAAAAAGTAGGGGACTTCCCTGGTGGCACAGTGGATAAGAATCCACCTGCCAGTGCAGGGGACACGAGTTCGATCCCTGGTCCAGAAAGATTCCACATGCTGCAGAGCACCTAAGCCCACACGCTGCAACTCCGGGAGCCGCCCGAGCTCCGGGACTCACAAGCTGCAACTGCTGAGCCCATGTGCCGCAGCTCCTGACGTCTGCGTGTCTAGAGCGCGTGCTCTGAAACGTGAGAAGCCACCGCGATGAGAACCCCGTGAATCGCAAGAAGAGTAGCCCCTGCTCGCCACAACTGGAGAAAGCCTGCACGAGCAACAAAGACCCAGCGCAACCAAAATATATTAAAAAATCATTTTTAAAAAAGAACTTTGTCTTTAAAAAAAAAGGTGGGAAAGTAGAAGCAATCAGAAAATAATAGGTGAGATCTCTATTCATTAAATACTAAAATGATTCATATTTGGTTGATTTTTCAAACATAAATCTAATCAATTGAGCTTTCCTGAGGAGGTTTGCTCTGATAAAAAGGGTCTAACAAGGAATCGAGAACACTTGGATTATAGACTTCATAAATATGAATGATTCTAAGCCTGTGTGTCATTTGTGAAACCAAAAATCTCAGAAATATTTTTATGACTGATTCCATGAATCCTTCACATAAATGTTACAGTGCTAAATCCTTAATAACTTAGTAAAGGACAATAATTTACCTATTTTATATTTTGGTATATTTTTGTAAAGAATAAAAGGACATAAATTTTGCTTGTCCTGAAACTTTAGAAGATTTATATCCCCTGGTTTACTGTATCCATAAACTTTTTGATTCATTTCAGTGATTCATATTTCATTGTAAGTTCTAATTCAATTAAATTTAAGCCAATTTAACACATCTATTGAGCACTTTCTATATGCATAGTTCTGTGATCAGCCCCTGCAGTCTAAACCATGTCCTCCCTTTCCTTCCTCCTCTAAATGTGTAAGAAAAGCTCTCTTTTCCCTTCAGGATTTAAGTTGATTATGGAAAGTATACCTTCTCAGCTTGGAGAAATATGGAAAAATTATTGCCTTCCTCTGTCAGCTGTGAAAGTTGTCTTGAAACAAGATTCCTTTTTTAGGCCAGAATCTAAAATTAGAATGCATATAAGCCCCCAAAGGCAATAAATATCAAATTACTTAAATTCTGGATTTTAAAAAGATTATTTCAAAGCGTAGAATGTCTTACACTTGCTGAAGCACTGATTTCCTAATGTTAAACTTGTTTGTGAATATTACTCTTTGATTTTTTGTTTTCCATTTGAACCACAAGACAAATTCTTTTTAAAAAAACTTTAAGGGATAATTTACAAATATAATTGGATGTATTTAAGGTGTACAAAGTGATGATTTTGATATGCATATACATTATAAAATGATTGCCAAGATCAAGATAACTAACACAGCCATCACCTAACAGTTAACACAGTTCACTGTGTGTGTGACTGTGTGGCGAGATTGCTGAAGATCTAGTCAGCAACTTTCAAGTATACAATTTTGTATTACTAACTATAGCCACCAATTCTTATATTTTTTATTGAAGTATAGTTAAATTACAATGTTGGGCTATTTACTGCTGTCCAGCAAACAGATTCAGTTATACATGCATATGTATTTTTTAAAATACTCTTTTCCATTATAGTTTTTCATAGGATATTGAATACAGTTCTGTATGTTACACAGTAAGACCTTGAGGTTTATCCATTCTCTACATAATGTAGAGAATGTACATAAGCTTACATCTGCTAACCACAACCTCCCACTCCAACCACCACCCCACCCAACTTCAGCCACCAGTCTGTTCTCTATGTCAGAAGTCACCAATTAATTCTTAATTGTTTCTCAGCTCCCATTTCTGCTGTCAAGGTACCATCAGTAAATCAAAGGACACCCCCTGCAGCTCATTAGTAGGCATTGCAACCTAACATGCTTTTAATTTTTAAGGTTTATTTCATATATACTGTATATTTGAGAAAGGAAATAACAGAGGTAAAATAATGCTAGAACAAACTCAAATTTTATGCAAAAGTTAAGCAAATTCTCTCAAACATATATAACTAACTTTATAGTTTCCTCAAATACCTAAAATAAGTATTCTATTCTAAATCTCAGAAATTGGCAATGTTCAGAATAATACTTCTTATTCCAGGGAGTGCTTTATATTTTGTAAGTTGTGAGTCTTTCAAAGAAGACTTGAAATTCCATAGCAGAGTGACAATAACTTTATAGTAACTTTTATAAGAGCCAATGTTGACCTTAAAACTCTAGCCAAAATCTATGTAGAGGTGGCAGAATTCTAAAATGATCCCTGTAATGGGCTGAATTATATTCCTCCCAAATGTATATGTTGAAGTTCTAACACCTAGTACCTTAGAATGACTGTATTTAGAGAGAGGGCCTTTAAAAAGATGATTACAGTAAAATGTGATGTGGGTCACCCCTAATCCCATGTGACCAGTATCCTTATAAGAAGAGGATATGAGGACATAGACATGCATAGTCTATGTGGACACAGGGAGGAGAAGATGGCCACCTTTAAGCAAAGGAGGAAAAGCTCAGAAGGAAACCAATCCTGCTGATAGCTTGATCTCAGAATTCTAGCTTCTAGAAATGGCAAGAAAGTAAATTTCTCTTCCTTAAGCCACATAAGCTGTGATGCTTTATTATGGCAGACCTAGCAAACCCATACAGCTCCCAAAGTTCTCACCTACCTATGTACACACCCTCTATAAGCTGCTGTGGAAGTCAGCTGTTATGTTGTGGCTAGAGCATGAGACTAGCCTCTCAGAGCCAAGAGCAACCACTGCTGCCAGCCAGCAAGATAACAGGGGCCCCAATCTTAAAACCAAAAGGAACTGAACTCTGCCAGCAGCTTTCAAGAGGCTCTGAATAGACAGTGTGCTCTGATAGAGTCTAGTCTATCAGATGAGAATGCAGCCCAGCTGACACCTCATTTCAGTCTTTTGAGGTTCTAAGCAGAGAACCAGCTGTACCAGGCCCAAACTTGTGATTTGTGAGATGATAATTGAGTGGTCTTATAGACTGTTAAAAGTTTGTGGTACTGATTTACAGCACAGAAAACTGACATAGTATGAACACCCAAGAGTTGGGTGATCACTGTGTGTGATGCAATGTCACTTACTTTATAATACCTCAAAGAAAACATAGTGCCCAGGAGGGTCTCCCCTTTTCCTATCGTGTCTTAATAAGTCCCTGAAAAGTGAAAGTGAAAGTGACTCAGTCGTGTCCGACTCTTTGTGACCCCATGGACTATACAGTCCATGGAATTCTCCAGGCCAGAATACTGGAGTGGGTAGCCTTTCCCTTCTCCAGGGGATCTTCCCAACCCAGGGATCAAACCCAGGTCTCCCACATTGCAGGGGGATTCTTTACCAGCTGAGCCACAAGGGAAGCCCTAAGTCCCTAGTATTTTTTTTTTTCCTCAGCTCATTTTATTGAACAACTGAGCATATAAAAACCACATAGAGCACATTACTAGAAAAAGTATTTTATTTTTCAAATACATAATGGATTCTTTACCCTCATTTCTTTTATCTTTTTATTAAGACTAAATACATATAAATATTAATAATTTCATCTTTTCTCAAATTAATGACAATGGTATAATTGTGATTATCTTTTAGCAACCAAAGTCTATTTCCAGAGGTTTGAACTTGATATGAGAAAAACACTGTATCAAGTCCATTGTACCTGATTTGGTGCTGAGGTTGAACTGGTGTAATGGTTTGCTCCAGGATCCAGAGGCTATTGTAAGCTTGAAAGCAAAGTGAAACGCTTAGGTTGACCTTGGCTGCTTAAAGGATCCTCTGGATGGGGGTGAGGGGTGCCTGGTTCTGTTTTGCACAGGACGGCTCGTCCTCAGGCTAAGCTGGAATCTCTGGGAACGGTGTGTGTGTGTTAGTTGCTCAGTCGTGCCTGACTCTTCGCAATCTCATGGACTAGAGCCCACCAGACTTCTCTGTCCATGGGATTCTCTGGGCAAGAATACTGGAGTAGCTTGCCATTTCCTTCTCCATCTAGTATTTTTTAATTAGAATTCTAAGTTGAAATTTCCCATTCCCTTTTCAAGTACTACACTGTTCATTCAGAATTAATAGTGGACAGTTTTCTTTTTTCTTTATGGCCATCCAATGCCATCCAAGATCTGCTCTGCTTCCTTTATTGAAGAGTGCCTGTGTGAGTTTTGAGGGAAAACAGGACTTACCTCGCACAACAACAAGACCAGACTCCTCTTGCCCTGGCCCCATTGGTTAGGACACCACCTCTCCTCCTGTTCTTGGCTCCCTCCTGGGTTTCAGAATCTAAAGCAGGTAATATATGTAGATGTGGAACTTAATTTCCCTCTCTTTGAGTGTGGGCTAGACTTACTGACTCTCTTCTAACAAATAGAATAGAGAGGTGACTATGTATGACTCGGAGACTCCATCATAAAGGGCACCGTGGCTACATACATGTTCTTCCTCTCAGATCACTTGCTTTGGGGGAGATCAGCCACCCTGTTGAGCAGTCCTATGAAGAGGCCATGGAGTGAAAAACAGGCCTCAAGTCAACAGCAATATGAGTGAACCGTCTTAGAAGTGGATCCTCCGGCCCCAGTCAAGCTTTCCGATGACTACACCCCTTGCTGGCATCTTGACTGCAACCTCATGAAAGATCCCGGGCCAGAAACATCCAAATAAGTTGCTCTCAAATTCATGACCCACAGCAGCTGTCAGATCACATGTCTATTTAAAGCACTAAATTTGGAGTACTTTCTTACTCCAGTAGATAATTAACATAATGGACTAGATTAAATCTCTTACATGAAAAAGAAACACAGAAAGAAAGATCCAGGAATCAGGAGGAGTTAGGAGAAAGAAGTAGAAAGAGGGTGTAGTGAGGAGAATTTCAAAGTTGTTCATTCTTTTGGAAAGACAGGGTGAGATTAAAGCAACTGATATAGAAAGTGGGACTTTGGGGACAAAAAGATGTTAAAAGGTATACTTAGGAAACTTTTTGCCTGGCTATGTGGTATAAATCTCTCCCCTGTATCCCAGGAAAACTTTAAGATCTCTATATTTTAAAATAATAAATAATCCCAACATTGCCCAGTGATTTAATGTGTCCCCAGGCTCATGAACCACTTATTTAAGTCTACCCTGGTCATTTTCTCCTAATCCTCAACTCCCCAACTTTTCTTGTAACTCATGTGGCCATAGTCAAAGCTCTGGCCAATGAGACAAAGAAGTAAATGTGTTGGGAGTTTCTGGGAAATACTTTGTTTCCTGCTGAGGAGAGAAACACAATTTGCTAGCACTGCCCTTGACTTTCCTTCCTACCTTAAGTATCATGAAAGATTGTGTGAGGCCCACATCTTGTGCCAAGGAGAAGACAAGCCTAAAGATGGAAAGGTATCCAGCTGAGGGTGGATAAACATCAGAACAGAAGGCGACTGGAATCCTGGAGCCAATGACTGAGCAGCTGCATCCAACCTGAATTGCCTTCTGCTCACCTTCTCCTAAGAAGAGAGTAGTAACATTCTTTATTGCTTAAGCCAGACATCGTGTCTGACTCTGCAACCCCATGAACTGTGTCCATGGAATTCTCCAGGTCAGAATACTGGAGTGGTTAGACTTTCCCTTCTCCAGGGGATCTTCCCAACTCAGGGATCGAACCCACATTGCGGGCAGATTCTTTACCAACTGGGCCACAAGGGAAGCCCAAGAATATTGGAGTGGGTAGCCTATCCCTTCTCCAGTGGATCTTCCTGACCCAGGAATTGAACCGGGATCTCCTGCACTGCAGGCAAATTGTTTACCAACTGAGCTATCAGGGAAGCCCCCAAGCCACACAAGCTATGGTTTTCTGTTATAAGTGGTAAAACCATTCCTGATACTGAGATGAATATTTGCTTATAGGTGGTGCCGCCGTCAAGCGATTCAACATAACATGTGTCCACATGAGACCAAATGAGTTCAAAATCACCTCCGACAGCAGTGAGGAGTCCTCCAGTTAGGAAGGTACCTCAGCACCTTAGTGTTCTATCCACAATATGGATATAATTATACTTCCATCACACAACTGTCAGGGTCAGTAGTTGAGAACACATATTACTCAAAAGACTGCGTAGCCCATATTATATAATAGGTATAAATTCTCATTATGTTGAGAGTTTAAAAAGCAAAAACTTAGTTTTCAAAATCTTGAAAACCAAGAGAATTGTCACAAAATTTGAAGCTTATCAACTATCAATTTAGGGTCTACAGATAATCTGCTGCTGTAATTAGTAGATCTTGCAGAGACTAGAGTGAATTTGGTTCTTAACTCTTCATTCAGTGAAGGAAATTTCCAACAAATACAAAAGCAAAGAGATTCATATACTGAACCTCCGTCTACCCATTATTTACCCAATGTAAGCAGCTACCAGGGCTTCCCAGGTGCCTCAGTCAGTAAAGAATCTGCCTACCAATGCAGGGGACACAGGTTTGATCCCTGGGTGGGGAAAATCCCCTGGAGAAGGAAATGGCAACCCACTCCAGTATTCTTGCCTGGAGAATTCCATGGACAGAGGAGCCTGGTGGGCTATATAGTTCATAGGGTCACAAACAGTCAGACACAACTGAGTGACTAACACACATACAAACAGCTGTCAATACACCTCTGGTCTGGTTTAACCTGTCACTCTCCCCATAAATGTTGTTGTTTCATCGCTAAGTTGTGTCTGACTCTTGTGATGTCATGGACTGTAGCCCTGTATATATATCTCTAGAACTAACTCTATGTGTGTGTGTGTGTGTGTGTGTGTGTGTGAGTCACTCAGTGACGTCTGACTCTTTGTGACCCCATGGACTGTAGCCCACCAGGCTCCTTAGTATTCAGGCAAGAATACTAGAATGGGTAGCCATTCCCTTCTCCACTCCCTTCTGCCATTCCCAACCCAGGGATCAAACCTGAGTCTCCTTCACTGCAGGCAGATTCTTTAACATCCGAGCCACCCCATTTTTTTCACCTGCAAAAAGGAACAGATTAGCAGTCAGGATCCAATCTCTAGGGTCACTGTGAGAAATAAATAGCAAAACAATGGTGAATAATAGCTGTAATGACTAAATCAGCCAAGCACTTCCCTAAGCACTTTTCCTGCAGTATCTTTAATCCTCAGCATTTGGCACATTCCCAGTGCTCAGCAAATGTTCCCTTCCAGGTCCAGAAGCAGGCTTTATAGCGATAAAGATGACGGAGTGGCGGCCCTGGTTAGGAGAGGTTGGTGAGAAAAAGTAGTACCTTATGAGGCAGAGTCCTCCACAAAGCGGGGAGGGGAACAGGGGTGGCTCAAGAAAACCTTCTCAAATTTGCAGCTGAGTCCTGGAGCCTGGAGAGTGAAGAGTGGTGTGAGGAGATGGGAACCAGGTTAAGAGGAAATGAGGAGTCAGGAAGAGAGGAAAGTACCCTGAGGCCTCTCAGCCTCTGGAGCGCGCTCCCGATTCACACAGCACCTCCCAGCAGTTAGCAGTCTGCACATACCCTTGGGTTCTGAGCTGGTCCAGACCCAGGCTAGGAGGAGATGAGGTCAAGAGTCAAACCTACAGCCATCTCAGAATGATTGTTGTGTTCCACACAACCACAACATGCCCTTTGAAAATCATCATTTTATTTATTTTTGGTTGCTCTGGGTCTTTGTTGCTGTCCAAGGGCTTTCTCTAGTTGCCACGAGCAGAGGTCACTCTATAGCTGCAGTAAGCAGGCTTCTCATTACATTGGCTTCCCTTGTTGTGGAGCTTGGAGATCGAACCTGTCTCTCCTGCACTGGCAGGCAGATTCTTACCCACTGCACCACCAGAGAAGTCCCATCACACCCTTTGCAAATGATCTGAATGAGAGTTATTTTTTACAAGACTGGCTTGTGACACAGCTTTGGGAATGAGGGATACCATGGAGGGTAGGAGGCTGACCTGAGCTTGGCCCCAGAAAGACCACCACCCCCATTATCCGGGAAGGCAGTTCCCAGCACCCACTAAGCTTCTGAGGTTCCCATTGCTGTTTGACGGGCCTGCAGAGAATATCTGGTCTGCAAATCAGGGCTGGCTGGGATGGACCCATCAGCAATCCTGACCACCCCAGCAGTCCTGACCACTCCATCTGACCTTGACAGCCCAACCATTCCCCAGGAGAGGCTCCAGTCAGCAATAAGCTGGGAACAGAGTCTAAGAGTTAAGAAAGGATGAATCCAAAATCAATGTCTATTAGAGAGGAAGGTCTTCCCATGTTTCTGTTTCTCTCTTCAGAGGGCTTTGTGTCTAACCTGGGCTTTAAACTTGGTTCCACAATACTTCTCAAAGGGGGAATCTGTGAACCCAAAAGAATTAAGTGGAGAATTAATTTAACATGCATAGTCTCAGGCCTTGCTACCAAGCATTCAGATGCTCCAGGGGTTAGGAATCAAGAATTCACTTTTCAAAAATAAGTCCCCAGGTGATTCTCCTTTGGGTGCTTTTGGACATTTCTCCAAAACTGGCCTGAAGATCATTGTGTCAGATAAGCACCTGGTGTCTTGGGAAAAAATACAAATTTTGTGGATATCCTGAATGTTCAATCTGCAGGGGCAGAGTTAGAGGGGGAAAGTGAGAAAGGAAACCCAGCCATTTGCATTTTAAAGAGGCTTCCCAGTTGAAGGTGTACTGGCAGATTTTAAGAACCACCGGCCCAGGGAATAACAAAATGTTCTCTTAGAGGGGCCACGGGCTGGAAAACCTATTTCTGCTGAATCTTCTTAAGGCTACTTTGGGTGTATTTTCATAAAACCACAGCCCCAAGGTTCAAATAATGAATGAGAAAAAGACACGGTACTGAGAATAAGAATTAAGTAAACCAACAATGAAAGTGTTAGTTGCTCAATCATGTCCAACTCTTTGTAACATCGTGAACTGAAACCTGCCAGGCTCCTCCATCCATGGAATTCTCCAGGCAAGAATACTGGTGTGGGTAGCCATTCCTTTCTCCAGGGGATCTTCCCAACCCAGGGATCCAACCCGGTTTCCTGCATTGCAGGCAGATTCTTTACCATCTGAGCCACCGGGGAAGCCCCCAAACCAAGAATGTTTCCACGTCAAAGATTTTTTTGTCCAGTTTCTCCAGCAGGAACACCACACTGTATTTGCCCTCTTATTCATCATACTTTGCCTGCAGAAGAAGTTTTCTTATATCAAGATGCTCAATAAATACCCATTGACTTGAATGTATTCCCCTTTGGAGAGCAATACATTCAACAAGTGTTAGGTTGGCCAAAAAATTCATTTGAGTTTTTTGTACCAGTGTATGGAAAAACCCGAACAAGCTTTTCAGCTAACATAATACTATATTATTTAGTGCTGGTGTTTGGATGAGTTCACATGTGTACATGAGCAAGGGGCAGAAGTGGTGGTGAACAAAAGCGGGTCTGATAAAGAAAGGGAGATAAAACTCAATGGGTTGCTAAGTAGACTTAAGTTGTAGTTAGGGAGAACATAAATACAAGTTCTAATTTTGGCCTGCTTCCTCTCTTGCCCTGGGATCTTAAGCAAGCTACTTTCATTTCGCTATTTCAACCATGACTTTTTTTTCTTTTTTTAAAGGAATATTCCTGTGGAATTATTTTAAGAAGTAAGAAAGAAGAGATTGGAAAGCACCTTTTCCTCTTGGCCAAAATTATGCAGAAGAGAATTGGAACAGTTTGATGTCAGAAATAGTTTCCTCCTTCTTTTTCTTTCTTTTTTTAAATTTTGTATTCTTCTAAAAAAAATTTTAGGCCACACTGTGCAGCATACAGGATCTTAGCTCCCCCAAAAGGGGTCAAACCTGCATTGGGAGGGGGGCAGAGTCTTAACCACTGAACCACTAGAGAAGTCTTTGTTTTCTTTTCTTTCCATAAACTAAAAATAATTCATTTAGTAAATATCTACTAAGGATTCATTATAGAAGGTGTAATGACTTCTATGGGCTTCCCAGGTAATGCTAGTGCTAAAGAACCCACCTGCCAATGGAGGAGACATAAGAGACGTGGGTTCAATCCCTGGTTTGGGAAGATCCCCTAGAGGAGGGCATGGCAACTGACTCTAGTTTTCTTGCCTGGAGAGTCCCATGGACAGAAGAGTCTGGTGCGCTACAGTCCATGGAATCACAGAGAGTTGGATATGAGATAAGAAAGCCTTCCTAAGTGATCAATACAAAAAAATAGAGGTAAAAGATAGAATGGGAAAGACTAGAGATCTCTTCAAGAAAATTAGAGATACCAAGGGAACATTTCATGCAAAGATGGGTACAATAAAGGACAGAAATGGTATGAACATAACAGAAGCAGAAGATATTAAGAAGAGGTGGCAAGAATACACAGAAGGACTGTACAAAAAAGATCTTCACAACCCAGATAATCATGATGGTGTGATCACTCACCTAGAGCCAGACATCCTGGGATGTGAAGTCAAGTGGGCCTTAGGA